CTACTTTGCAAGTCAAATATTTCACGCGTAGGGAGCACTTTGGACGATCTTTCACACATAATTTATTCTCTTTAAGTTGCTGATCCATCTGGCCTACGCAAGCTGATATGTTTAGCAAAAGCAGACGCTTTCACGGAAAGAGCACAATAGCAAAGCGCAAGAAGTGACCTCTAGTATTGCGGTATTTTTTGACTTCGCTTATTTCACAGCCTCATAAACTAGGTCTTTAGCAGTTCTCAAAGCACGATGAAGCTACCTCTCCAACTCTTGGAAAAGAAGAAGAAATTCGACAGGGAACCACCTAAACGACCTAGCGCAAAGATCCATTACATATGCGGAGAGAAGTTCAAAGTTGTTAGGCCGCTGGCGAGAGATATGTTTGATGCTGTGTCGTTTACGGTGATTGGTAAAACATCCTGGTTTCTAAGAGTGAGAGGACAGTATTGCTTCTTGGAGCCAAAGAAACAGAGCCGTCAATTTGGTAAGTTTACAACAGTGTCATTTCTAAGTCCTATTCTTTTCGAAATTTTATATTAGCAGAATCGCACTAACGTTTAGTTGAATTTTTTAAACCTTGAAGTACAAGCAAATTTAGAAGAATAAGATGTCTTTTGTTGCTCTCATTAAGTTGCTTTATCCCATATCTTTGAACGATGCTAGTACAAATTTGTACATATGTAGCAAATAGGCTTTTGGTTGTTTGTTCTTCTTTGCAATATGCTTCAAAAAGTATGTTTGTGAAATTTAATAGCCAAATACAATTTTTGAGTATACGTAAATATTTCCACAAGTGGCAAATTGCTTCATGGTGCGGATCATTCGGTTTTGGAATTCTGCTTCACTGCTTGCTCGCTGTGGTTTTAAGAGGATTAATTACAAAAGAATCAAGTAAAAAAAGATCAAAACTTTGAATGTCAGTGACAGTTATTTGATGTGATAGCTTTAAATACCATAGTTGATCATCTGTTTTCTGGCATTGCTGCCCCTCACGCAAATAAGTAAAATAGTTTAGTAAATTACTGTATATATATGCACTGCTAGCGGATCACAAAAGTACTGGACTCAATAAAAACATGATCCAATCTTTTGTCACTTCAGCTATATTTTCACATGCATATTTTCAGCTAGCCTACGTAGCCGTCCCCAGTTGTAAAAGAATGAAAGCCATGAAATGTAATACAATCATAAAATGTTAGAACGAAATAAAGTACTCCCCTACTTTACAAATATTAAAAAAGAATATTGGAATTTGCATCGTTCAATTGTACTTGTAGTTTTTGGAAGGAATAGTAATAATTATAATAAAAATAATAATAATAATAATAATAATCTACGTTTATACAGGATAATAAACTTGGTCAGCTTGTTCAGAAGCTGCTATCAGTCAAGGTCCTGCTAAAATTGAAGTTAAAAAGAAAATTAAAGATGTCAAATTACAATATCAAAAATAAAAACATCTATAAATTACATATTAAAAAGTTAAAATTCACTGTCAAGTTGATCGTATTGACTCTTGAAATTCATAATAGACTGTTCTTGTTTCAGCATATACGTATGCCACATCGATTATACTTGATTTACGTTATATTCAGCGTTGGAAATTTAAATTAGTTCGTTTCAATTAGCGTATGCATAGTTAGAAATTGTACCAACTTTAAGTTAAGAAATAAATAAGTACTGTACTGAGTCACTCATCAAAAATAGTTAACAAATTCAGTGTTGCTGCTGAGCGTTATCTATATATAATGTGGTTGTACCATGTCAGCTTTTGTGAAACTGTGTAACCAGATGAAGCTATGAAGCAGAAACACAGTAAAAACTTTGATAATCATGAATGTTAAGCACCGTGTTTTTAATTGTGATGAACCACATAATCTATTGTACTGAACGTGAGTTTGTTCAGTTACAAAGTTTATATATGAAGTAAAATTCGCCTATTTGACCTAACACGCACCCGAGACATGTGACTTTTGACTTGTGGCTTGCAACAGATGGCCTTTGGCATTTTAAATTTGTCATTCGAACTTTGGCGTTTGACCTTTGGAATGTGACCTGAAATTAATCACCTGTGATTGAAAGTACAGAAATCTCTGACGTTGATGACCTTTTTGGCAGCCTTTTTGACTTGTTAAATTTCAAGGGAGAAGATAAAGTTCGAAAAGCTTTTCGATGGTATTCCAGTCAACGTTACCTTGTTTTGTGTCATTTTTTTCTTTCTTTATTTAAAGTTGGTACAATTTCTAGCTATGCATACTCAAGCTAATAAAAACCAACTAATTTAAATTACCAACGCCAAATATAATGTAAATCAAATATAACCGATGTTGCTAGCGTATTCCTTGCAAAGATTACAAGTACAATTAAATGATGTAAATTCTGAGATTTTTTTCTTCAACATTTGTAAAGTATTTTATCTCGTTCGGAACTGAGTTCCATATTTGGCTACATCTGTATGATACGGTATTAAATCCATTTATTTTGTAATGTATCTCCACTGTTTGAATTGGGAGTTTCTTAAGTAATATGGGCATTCATTTATGGAAAATATTTTATCCATAAAAGGTGGATTCAAACCGTTAAATGTTTTGTAAATTTCTATCGCAAGATATTGTAAATTTTTCTTATGAGAAGTTATTGTTTTATTCTTCATTAAAAGTTGTTCAAAAGTTGATTCATAATCATCATGAGCTATTCTCATTGCTCTTTCACGAATCCGGTTTATCCGGTTATTACTTTTCCCACTGCAAAACATCCAAGTAAGAGGACAATAATCAAAATATGATAAAATGAACGTTTTCAGTAAAAGAATTCCATAATGTCATGCTTCGCTAATACTGATCACGCCTGATTAAACACTCAAATGCTTAGCCTGCGTGCAGACTTAACTTTCCATTGCGAAGAGAGCAAGATTTGTAACTGAAAAAACCATGAATGCTTGAGACAGCCTTCAAAACTGGTTTCATTTCGAGATTTGCTTTTGCAGTTTTGTTCAGCAAGGTCAAGCTCAGTGCTTCCTTAGTGAAAACAAGGCCGTGCTAAATGTTTACGAAAAGTGTGGGAATTGCTATCGATTCAATAAAAAGCCGCAGCCTGGTTTCTGCTTTTGAACTGTTGCTGGCTTTGAACACCTTAATTCTTCAATTATGTCGAACCAGGCACCTGTCTAGGTTGTAACGATGTGCTGTTACTTTCTGCTGAAAGATTGTCTCACATCTGAGGCCTTCAAAGCTTGTAAAATTACTTGGAAACTAAATGATTTCCGATTTATTTCTATAATTTTTCTTCTTTTCCTACATTTTACTATTTCTGTCTCCTTTTCTTCCCCAGAACAACTTCGATCCTTTTAGTAAATATCATACAGGTCATACGATTAAACGTACTTCCTAATCTCCTCCGTCGTTTTAAAGAAACCAAAATTGTTCCAATGGGGAGAGAGGAATGGCTAAATTCTGGCGTTCACTAATATCAGTGTTCCAAGACTTTTTGCAGGTATCGTCCAAAGACAGACTTCCGGTTCCGTTAATTGCAACATAATGCTGTCGAAATTGTGGGGCAAAACCTACACAAGCGCTTCTCGAATTATGTGCAGCAACAGATTTATCTCCGGAAGTATTGTAAAGATCAGTAACAGAAGCAGGTTAAAAGAAAGTATCATGATTTTAAAAATCAACTGGGAAAGTACATTCATTTAAAAAACGAGTGACAATAACAGATATGAACCAAATTTGTCTGTCGTACATCCTTAGTCGAGTCCTTGGTAGTTGATAGTTTCTATGCAAAGCTACAGTTTAACAGCTCCACGGTAGGGTTCCTTTAATGATTGATTGGATGATCGGATAGGAGAGATAGGTCACTTTTGAAGTTGATAAACTAATGATAAACTAATGCAACAATAGAATTGCTGTACCAATCGATTTCCACCCTCCGCTAGAAATTTATTCGCCCTAACAGTGTCATATTTACGCTTCTGAATTACTTAACGGACATTTCAAGACTTTTTGGAAAGATATTGAATCATATTTTGAGCTGCTTTTAATCCTGCAATAGCTGACTCAGTTATCCAGTTTCCCTGCTTATTTTTAACTCTTTTATCTTGATCAAACTGTCGGTCTCTTTAATCATATAAATTGTTTTGACTTTACAATTTGTCCAAAACGGCATCATAATTAATTATCATGAAAAAATAATGATCAGTGCAAAATTGCAGTCATATTGTTCAGTATTCTTTATAATTTCATTTTTCTCAGTTGTCTTACGCAATTGCAAACCAAAATAATGTAATTTCATGTTAGGTTCTATTCAATAGCACGACACCTTTAGTCTTTCTCTACTCGTAGTCTAGACAAGGCCTATGAAGAACAAGGGCAAGGGGAGTAAATTAAATGGGAACGGAGCCACCATTGGACACATAAGTTTGAGAACTAAAGTGCTAAAGTGCTAATAGTTTTTTGCTAATGTTTATCTAAGAAATTCAAGCATTGGTCGACTTTCATAGTATGGCTTAAGGCTTTTTCAATCCTACAAATGACACGTTGGCCAAGCATGCAAGCCTGATAGTGAAGATCATTGAGATATCATTGATACATCTCATAGACCTTAATGAGTTTTCCCTTGTGAATGCACACAAAACCTAGCAACAAAAACAGGCTCTACTCTATCTTCAGTGAGCAGGAGGTCTCTTAAAAAGGTAAACAAATAATTAAGTTATCTTTATTGTCAATATGATCCATTAAATGGGGTTAGCAAATTTCAGGCCAAAGTTGAATGGCCCTGTAAACAGTTTGCACAAGATGAATCTTATGGTTTAAGATGCCACCAATCGGGTAAAGAATGACCTCATATTGTATCAACGTTTAAGTGTTTGCTTTTAAACATATAATAATTAACAATTCATTTTATTGAGCCACTTAAATCAATAATAAATGAATCAGGTATTATATTGTGAAAGAGGACCAGTAATGTGTTTTGCACCTACAAGTTGTCAGATAACAACTTAGATCGAACAACAAACAGGTTTTGAAGTGTCTCGGAGTTTGATGACGTGCGCAAATGTGAAACAGTGGTTGGAGGCAGGATAAAGGTCACCTATTGGCAAAAGAAGAAGTAAAATTGATTCTGTTAACTGGAAAGCAAGGTCTGATCAAGGTCTCTATTCTGCAGAAAGGAAGTTAGGTAACTCATTAAGAAACCCCTGCATCCAAGCTCTCAAGAAATTTAAAGCAGAAAGTTGGAAAAGAAAACTCTCTGTGATTTATATTAGGATATTTATGCTAATTGACTAAAACCAAAGAGGTAGCCGTCAAGGGCTGGCGTTGGTGGTACAGAGATTTTGTTCCAAAGTATGATTGGAAATTTTCATCAAGAGCCCGCTGTGTGCTTGTAACGCTAGATTGGCGGTATGATTCGAATGTCATCATTTAAAGCTCGCACTACCTTTGAGCATCAAAATATTTAACAGAAGCGCAAGATAACAATGTAAACAAAGAATAAACTACCAGTACTGCAAGACGTTTGCTGTTGAAAAATCTGCAAAAATTCAGGTATAGAAACAGAGAGAGAACCGGCGACGCGACTGACAAGCTTTGAAAAGCGGACACATAAACCAGATAAACACATAGTTTTCTAAAAAGCTGAATCTGTAATTTCTGAGGGATACAAAACAAGCTCTAGGTGAAAGGAACTGGCAATATCTAGCCTGGCACCGACTTTGCTGCTGTCCTGGCTTTTGAACGTTTAAGTGAAAGAAAGATATTAAGCTGTTTGGCAGAAAAAACTATTTTACAACGAAGCAAAATTTTTTCTGAGACAAAGACGTCTGAGGCTGATGATTGGTCGATAAAGAAAGAAAGCGCCTCAGAACTCCTCAGAAAGTACCATAGCTGACGGATGTTATTGCTGAAAATAAATTCAATGGATACCGTCAAATCAATGACGACAGGAGATGTAGTAAAGGACGTTGAGATCATCGAAAAAACCATATTGGCAGGCCAATTCATATCGACAAGTGTTCAAGTTTCTAGAGAGTCTCAAGAGAAGAAGAAATTACTTTGAAATCCTTGTTACTCTAAAGGGGCAATCAAGCATTGCATCATTGTCAAATATTGTGTCTCGAAGACGTTGCTTTTTATCGAAAGTTCATCGTTTTGAATCTCAGGAATGAAAAAAAACTTTAAAATAGCAAATTTATCTTCAAATCCGCTTATAGAGCAAAGAAACTGCGTGTACAAAGGAGAAGGGATTCTATAAGATTCAAAAGCCGAAGGTGCCTAATTGAATTCTCATCAAAGATATAGTTTCATTGTATTTAAGCTTAGGGACTAAAAACCCACGTAGCCTGGCTCCATTGCAAGTGAATCATAAATCAACCGACTGACTTTTGCACGTTTACATGCAAAACACCGATGTTATTGTTTCAAAAGACGACGTTACAGTGCTATGTTCGGCTCTTGCAATAAAATAAGAAAATTGCTTAGAAACGCTTGTTGTTTCTTGACAATAACAGTGAAAACCTCAAATATGTCAACCAAACTGAACTAAAAACAGTTTCACAATGCGCCATAACTATTGACTCAGCTCTATTACCGATGTTGAGTTGTTAGGCCGCCTATTTCGATTTGGATAAGTTATTTTAGTAATGCGCTGAAAAGTCCTAGCGACGGGTCATGTGACATTGCTGCTAGTAAATCCAGCGGAAGAAAGCGGGTAACAATCGTGATTGCTATGGCCTCTACGCTGTTGTATTATGTTTGATCAATTTGAGTAAAAGAAGTTATTTACATTGACATTTCTCGAAATGATGTATTGGGTAATGGATTAATGGATTGGCTTATAACGTGCAGCTTGTTGCCTGAAAATATCGTCAATGTACAGCAGCCTTCAAATGAAGCTTTCATCAGTTGCAATCATTAGCTGAGTTCTATACACTTGCTAAGGATGTTCGATTACAGCTTTGCGTTCTGATTACGTTGCATCAACATTCATCAAAAGCAACGACTTTCAAACACAATGCGTGACATCAAAGAGGCTTCAATTTCCCTGCAACACGAAGTTGAAGTGTAAATCGTAAAAGGATCTGTAACTTTGTTCATGAACACAGATGTACAGGGTGAACTTGTATGAATGAAAATTCAAATTGATGAAGATCCAGTTCTCCTAACAAGTCATTGATGATGCAGGAAAGCCTTTTGATGTTAGTTTATATCAATGTTTCAACCGTCTGTGTTACAGCCTAAATCTTCTAGAGATCATATATTGCCCAGCTAGCGTGCAAGATAGATAGGTGTTGCAATTCAAGATTGCCTACGTACAGAGCTTGTTCGTCAAGGGTCTCTTCATCAAAAGATTCAATTTCTAAGCAGTCGTTTATTTCATAAGGAGTGGACAAAAGACGTGCAAACAAACTGGGAAAAACGACAAACTGTTTTAAATACCACACAATCTGCCTGCTGTAAAAGATACAAAAGAAGTCTATACAAGAACAGATTTTCGTATGTATTATGCAAAACCTAACACGCTGAAGAAAAAAAAACTATTATATTTCTGGCTATATAAATAATCGCTGTTTGAAGTAAAGCTATTTTAAGCATGACAGAGCAGCTTACGGAAGGAGGGGTCTTGTAGTTTCAATGGCAAGGCGTCTAACTGTGACCTGTCGTTATAAATAGAGGTATTCATTGGCGAATGCTCACAAGTGAAGCATTACTCGCGAGGCTTGCAAACTGAAAAATTCTTATGCTGGCACCAATTCAATGCATGCGCTTTCGACAATCATACTTCAACTGAAGTTTATAAACTTGTTTGTTGACGCATTGCCAGGTTTTTGAGTCAAGAAACATTTGGAGGAATTTGGAAAAGACAATTCAACGTGCAGGAGTATTTTTTACAAGATTCCCAATATTCATTATTCTACGAAGTGAAGAGAGATATCAAGCTGCTTGGCAGAAAAATACTATTTAACGACAAAGCAAGACTTTTTTTCTGAGACAAAGACTTCCGAGGACAATGATTGGTTGATAAAGACAGAAAGCGCCTTAGAAAGTACTAGTAGCTGAAGGATCTTGACATTATTGCTGAAACTAAATCCTGAAGCTAGTTTAGAGATTACAGCGATTTAGAGAAATTTTAAGCAAATTATCTCTCTAATATTGTCGGTTCCTGATAATCTTCATATTTCATCGAATCTATTTCTTCAGCCTTAATAGCGCCTGTAGTTATTCGACATACTCTAAAGGCGTGTTGTTCAAATATTCAATACCATCGGCCTCAGAATACAGAAGTCACTAGCGATAATACTAAAGCAATCTGAAGAAATCATGTTCTTTGCTCCGGGTGCCTACACTTCGAGCTTTCTGAACCGAGTTGAGCATAAAAAGACATTACCGGTATTGGGTGCCGGTTGCCTCAAACTGCGCCCTTTGGCAAAAGACAAATTCAAAATTGTTCCTGGACTTGATAGATTTTCACATGAATCTGTGTCATTTGAATTTGCAAAAAGACCTAGATGGTTTATTCGTGGTGTCACCAAGGATTGCTACATCGAAAGACGCTCAAAGAGTACTGGTAAGTTTGGAAATTGCATACTGGTAAGGTTCACTGAGATTTGGGCAGCTAGAACTAAGGCATCTAGTTGGTAATATACTCTTTGGACCCTTTTTATGCTGCTTCGTGTCATCTGCTGTAGCCCTAGAGGTCAAAAGGAGAGGATTAGGTCTGCTTCTATCTTTGGGAAGTCAGTTTATGAGACCCTACCCTAATACGCGAAAAGTTTCCAAGATCATTTTATGACTCTCCTGGACTCAAAAGTTTTTCAGTCTTCCTGTTATAAATTTATTTTGGCTACTAGGAAAGCTAATCTTTATATGCATTTTTAAGTCTCTTTATCTTTCTTAACACTGATTTAATTAAAATAGTGAACCCTGGTTGGATGATTTAGAAAGATGAGTCATTCTAGCTTTTTTTAACACAACCCATAAACAGAAGAATTCAAAAGACACCAGTGATCTCTGCATACAAAAACTTGAAGCATTGTGTCTGGTACGGTAAAGTCTCCTAGAAAATAATTGAACTTGAAGATCAATGTATTTTCAGAAATCTTGATAGAACCAAGAGCCAAAATAGCAACTAAGAGCACTTACTACATACAGAGAGGACTATATACAGATCGTTTTCTTCTAAATATCGCGATTTTAGCTCCTGGAAACGTAGAAACTTGGTTTTCTGTGCCTATTTACACTGTAAAATGAAGACGTTTTGAAATGGAGACCTTTGAAAACTGCATCTACTGTCGTTTTGATACAGACAAAGATAAGTTTACGAGATGGGAGGCTTTGATAATATACACCTAAGGGAAAGTATTAATTGATGAAGGCTGCAAGGCTGAATTGTAAAGCTGAGTCTGTCGATCTTTCTTGAGCAGGTGGCAGTATTTAATCTTGCTTTGATACTGGTAATTACAAAGATGATTACCTATGTTAAAAACATGAATAGTATATTCAGTTAATGAGGTTTTGATCTTGCTTAAATATGATACCATGTTGTGTCTGAAGCCCAGAGGATTGTCACCTGATGAAGTGATCACAGGAGATTATTTACAGAGAGGTGGGAAAGCATGGGAACCCAGGCAGCCTGCTTGCTGGGCGAATTGGTTTCTATGCAATGATTTGCTTGCTAACTGGGTATTGCGTAATGAGTGCTTAGAGGATGAAATAGAAAACCCCGTGATGATGATTACAAACTAGTTTTTAAAGATTTCTTGCATGCTGAGTCTAGGCATGCAGTAGCTACAAGCAATGACATTTTCAATTTGCTCTTTGCATGGAATGTCAATCATTTTTAGTGGAATCACGAATCAAATGGTGTAGTCACAACGCGAGGATGGACCAGGACACTGCTTAATAAGCTTAGCTTCTCAGTATCTTTAAATCTTCTTTCGGATGCTAGGTAGCAAATAAAATATAAATACAAGTATTCCCATGATCAGGGGCGGATCCAGAACAAATTTGAAGGAGGGGCAGTTAGTAGTGAGGGCGCTGAGAAATTTTTAGGAGCTGGTGACACGAGTACGTTGTATACAACAATTTAAGACCCCAACTACTGACAAAAGGCTCTCTATTCACTTTCTAAGCAAATTGTTAACAATAATTGTGCAAAAACAATGATATATAGTCTGGGCATGACTAATGGCCTCGTTTAACAGTATTGCTCTCTTTATAGATAACTTTCCCAGCTGTTCCGACATAGTGTCTACTACTTTGCAAAAGAGGCTGACTTGAATGCTTTTTCCATACCGGGAAATATAATTTTAGGGGTTTCCGCTTAAATTTGCCGCATTTGGAATATGGCTGTTTTGTTAGACGGCATTTTAATGAATGCGCAAAAATATGAATAGTACATCGTTATTATAAAAAGTAAAATTGATCGTCAGATGTAAGCGGCCACTATGATTTGCGGCAGAAAAATATTTTGCAACTATGACATTCTAGAGATAGATGAAAAATGGATCTGGAATATCTATAACATTGACTGAGAACCAAAGATCCTAGGCACAACAGACAAATATTCAGTCATAATTATGATCGATATTTCTATTTGGTTTGATTATGACATGAATATTGAGCCAAATTTAAGCGCAAGAAATTAAGCAACGTTTGAATGAAGGCATGAATTTAAGAAAACAACTTTATGGATAGCCTTTGTTGTCTTCCTGAGCGTAACTTTTCTAGCAAAACATGATCCATTTTCTGAATAAGCAAGTTAACTTTTAAATTATCCTTGAAGTAGATTAACGTTTATGTCTCAGAAGCTTTCTCACCTGATTCTCATTTTTCAAAAGAGGCTCACATTTTCAAAAAAGGGGCGTCAGACTTGCTGCCCCTAGTTGCTCCTCCCCTTAAATCTGCCACTGCTCACGATTGAAAAATCTTTAACTTTTTCCTCAACAGAAAAGGACTGTTCCTTCTTTCCACTGGTTAACTTATGGTTTCCTGAGTTCGTTTCTTTTGAATCGGTTCAGAAGTCAGCTCATTACTTGCGGATGAAGGACGGTCGTCTTATTCTTGATCATTACGATGGGACAACAGACTTTAAAGAGGAGGCAAGCTTCAAGATGGGACTTAAAAACGGTGAGCTGCTTCTAATGTCTTTTTGAATATCTGAGCAACTTATGCAAGTTGATGACATATTTTAGCTTGTTTAAACTACTTTAAATGTACTTGCTCTTTGATGCGAAAGAAATTGGAGGCTTATAATAGTAAAAAGGTCTGGTTTTCCTTATTATCCATTAAAGGAAGTCATAATGCTGTTCTAGACAAAACATTTCATTGTACAATAAACATGCTTGAGGCGGTTGCATTGATATCTATGTGTAAATAGTCATTTATGAGAAAAACTTCTCGTTTACCACGTAGCTATTTCTCACTTTGTATACCCAGGAATACATGGACTCATAGTTTAGTAAATTGGATCGTGAAATTTTCCAAATAATTTAAGAAAAACCCTCTCTTCCTAATAAGCCAACAGAGAGTTGGTCCAGATTGTTTTATTCAGGCTACAATCAAGCCAGCTAGCTACTTTAGATCTAAGGAATAATGTTCACAAGAAATTTGGATTGAATCCGGATACTTCGCAATGTACGTGCTTACAATCAAACATTGTAAGATAAGCAAAATACAGAAAGCGATATGCAAAATGGCATTAAAGGCAATCTGTCTCGTTGTGGATTGGTTAACGAGAACAATAGCTGGAACAATAGCCTAAACACGATTCCAGCGCTCCGCCGTATTTTTTACAATGCGATAAATTAAAGGGGGACTCGAAACAATAAAAAATTCCTTTGTTCTTATAACCAATCAACGTCGTGACAGATTGCCTTTGATTACTTTATCAAGCACAGGTCATGTGCGGACACTACTATGCACAGGAAATTCCATTACGAAAATAAGAAACAAAATAAGAATCACGCGAGGCTGAAATTTCCGAAAAAATAAGAAACGCCAGGATGAGATTGGAGCCAATTGTTCTTCTAAAAAATCGTGTAATTAGGAAATGCTTCATTTAGGAATATCGTTAGGTGATGTCTTTAAGAAAAATTGCAGGATTAAGAAATTGAAAATCAAAATATTTTTGTCAGTTGAAGATGAATGTGGGTCCATTAAAGTTGAACAATTACGCGTATATGGCCAGATGTGAGTCCGGTTAACGAATTATAACGGTCAACGAATATCAGAGCAAAATAGGCCCGGTTTGGTGGATATCGGACCCACGTGAATGAATAATAAATCGATATGATTTTTTGCAAGAAACGCACCAGTTTGAGGGTTCTATCACAGAACGATTTTCGCTCGGTCCTTATGCAATTAAAGGTTTGAAAGAAGGAAATTGAAGAAATATCGAAACACCAAATACATGAAACATCTTTCAGCCTTGAGAACGTTGTTTTATTTGTCAAAATTCGGACATGTTCGCTAACTGTAAATAAAACTTCTCTCTGAATCTTTACTCCGCGACTGTGGAGGTAATAACGACTGTGAAAAAGCATGTTTCTTAACAACGTACCTTGAACAATTCCCTGTTCCATTCCTGCGCTCACCTTCTCGTCATTTTTCGAAGGATCTTGTCCTTTATTCTGTGAACGATGAAGATTTGATAACAGAAATTTGATACAGATGATGAACTCTGATACCGAAAATGTTAAGGAAATGCCGTTTTCCTGTAATTCGTAGGGCTATGCATGCATCCTCTATGTATCTGCACAGGTTTTCGAATACATTTTGCCAAGTTAAATCTCACAGTGGTCAACTTTAGGAATTCAATGCTAGAAATTTAAGTAAATTCGTCATGGACTTAAAGCACGATTTGCAATCTTCCTTTTGCTTAAAGGGGTCTCGGGAGACTCAGCTTCTTTAGTTAGCGGGAGACATTGCTAAAATTTCAACGAGAAATGGACTGCCAAGGCACTATATTTCAACAATGCTATATGGAATTGAAAAAGCCATTGATCAGAAGACTTTGAGGTTTTCGATTGCAAGCACATTCAGGGCCTTTATGTACTCGAAACTTGAAAAAAATTTAGAACAGGAGATCAGCTATATCACAAAACACTGCTGGATAACGCTCCAAATTCCAAACGGGAATGTTGTTCGCCATTTTAATTCATTTCTATTTTATCCTGATATTAATAACTGAAAAATCGAAGCAGAAGTTATAACTAAAAGGGGTTCAAAAGGGACATGCTAGTGCCCCGGGGCCTTGACAGAGCTAAGCGCTAGTTTTATTACCACCACGTCAGGTTGTTCGCATTTTGCTTTTGGACCGCGTAAATATAGACGACAGGCCTATGGTTTTGATTGTGACTTAATCATGTCAGCTAAAATGTCGTCTTCACCCAGACTATATACCTTTATCATACCTTTATGTACACATACATTTATCTAATTTGCGTTTTTCTGATTCTCTTTTTTGCAGACTTCATTTGTAAGATCAATGAAGCGAGAAAGAGGGAGGAAGACAAGCCGCTCCTGCACGAGGACGCTTACCGATGCAGCTCAGCTGGGATGTCTGACTGCGTTTGCAGCGAATGCGTCAGCGTTGTTTCATTTCAAATTTATGAGGAAAACACGCACATCTGCGAGTGCTCTGACTGTGAAACAGATTATGTGAATAAACGACTAGGCAAGAATACTAAATAGTCCATATAATTGGTGATGGGTGCTCCCGATGAGGGGAGACTGGGAGAGCGGAGATGGGGTAGGGGGGTTCTTGGCACGACTGGAGACAAGTTTAACTAGCCATTTAAAGAAATTGTTGTGGTAATACATTAGGGAAGCGTAGGTTTTATCTAGTTATCTGGCAGAGAAAGTAGTCCTTGTTTCTAAACAATACCAGGCAATGGGGGTAGGAGAGGGTTAAAACTTTGCTCAGTATCATTATATTAGTGATTAAACAATCGTTAAACTCACTTTATCAAGATTGACACCATTTGCTAGCAGCTGTAAAGTCATTTAGAGTAACTCTCGATCAAAGTTATCTATGTAATTGTGAAAAAGATGTGTTGTGTCAAAATGAGTCCTCAAATTGTGGAATTAGTAAATGAAAAATCGAAAGAAAATCTTTAAACTCTGCGTTTTATTATAATTTCATAAGAAGATGATGTTATGTGTAAAGAATTACTATTGTGGCCAATTAATGCATTGAGATGTCTGTTGTTCGTATGTTTATACGTATACCAGATAAAATTAACAGGCAATGGAAGGAAGAATAACATATACTGCATACTTTGGGAAGGGGGCCTCACTGATCAGTGGGGGGCCCTTTGGGGTGCTAGAGCTGATGTACTTCGGGCAATTTTATGCTTTGGCATTTGTTTTTCATTGTGATACTGCTAACACTATGAACAGGAAGATATAGTCTTCTATTATACACATAGTCATGCCAGCCGATAGCATTTTGGGGCCTAAGGCAAAGAGCGAATGGCCCTTGATGACGTCATTAAAACTGTGATTGTTAGTGTTCTTGTGATTGTTAGGAGCTTTTTCATAAATTCTTGGGGCCCCTCTCAGCTCGGGGTCTAAGGCAACCTGCTCCCTTATTGGTGAGCATTTTTTTAGTGATAAGTGCATTCGTACAACACGTTTGTTGATGTTCAAACGTCAATTCTGTTTGAGGAATCGAACCATGGGGGGGGGGGGGGGGGGGAATAGTCTCCTCCACTTTTTCAGAAAGTTGGTCCTTGAGATTCTTGCAAACCTGATGAGAAAACATCAGGGGGGGGGTATGTACGTTATCTAGATCGTCACATGTAAATGACATTTCTTGGGAGACAACAGGTGCTTCCTCCGGAAGAAAAAGTTTCAAACAGAGGGAAAGGGCGTGGTCCAAAAGGGTTTTGTCCCTGACACACCTTCCCCCCCCCCACTTATCCCAGGCTGGAGCCGCCACTGATTACACTCTACTTCAACAGCTTATTTGTCACCAAAAACAAACTTTTGCATTGTAAAACACATTCACCGGGCTAGTACCTAATGACTTCTGTCATTTGAACAAAAAAACCGTTGGTGTAATTATATCTGGGCTAAGTACTGCATGATTCTTTCCTTTTAATAGTATGATGATCGTGTACAGTGGCGTAGATAGGAGGGGCGAAAGACTGAGATTTTCCGACAAAAATTTTCAATTTGTTCATACATTTGAACATACTTTATGTCAGTTCAGTTCAGTTCAGTTCAGTTCGATTCAGATTTTTATATTTTAAAAGTTCTCTACATACAATATCTTACTACAACTACATTACAACTAATTACAAACAATTTTCACACATTACATAAAATACTTATAATAACAGGCAATAAATAACAATTACGTAAAATGTTGTTTGCTGGGGAGTTTCTTTAGGAGGAGGTCTCTCAGTAAATGAACCAATCGAGGAGAGAGCACCTCTTTTTCTAAGGTGGTTTTTAATGTAATTGATCATTCACATGAGTGACAGAACAACAAATTTCGCTTCAGAATCAAATTTTATAGTTCTTTTTGAATAAAAAGGTTTTAAGCTTTTGACAAAAATTGACAACAGACAATGATCTTTGTATATCTACTGGAATATTGTTCCAAAAATTCAGCATCAAAGAAACGCACAGATCTGATACCAGATTGCAAAGTATTTTTTCGTATCAAAAAATACCATTTTTGTGGCTTGGTTAGCCGTGTACCTTATTGGTGATCATATAACAAAGACTCAAAAAAGTTGTCACACAGATTCAAAACATAACATAACGACATTAGAACTGAAATAAAACAAGATATAAAGTCTAATAACTTACTCAAAGTCATGTTTCATAAAATATATCAATTGAAGATTTAATGGTCTTTTCTCTTTGCAAAAGGCATTTTTAAGTTGCCATCTGTTTAACAATAACTGAAGAAATCGTAATAATAGCCTTCCAAGACATACTGTCCTCTAAAAATGTAACACTTGGATAAAAATGGAAAACCATGTTATATTTCCGACAAAATCAGAAATTTTCCGATAATATAGCTGTTTAGCTTTACAGGAGGGGTTTTGGTTCCCCTGACCCCCACTATCTACGCCACTGGAATCAAGTATCTAAATCAATAGGAGGTTAAACGAAAAGTAGAGTTACAGTATAGAGATAGCATTTTCATTTCTGTCAAATAGATTATTATAGGTTCATTTTTGAGTTGGAGAAAGCCTTTAGAGAAGCTGTTGGCATAATTGTATCTACAGTATCATTGTACATTGGGTATCTGAATCTCCAAAGAGACGAGGAGAATGGAAGTGAAGGGCAATGTTTCAAGAGAAAAAAAAATAGAAGGGGGTCAATATTCATTTTATCTCACCCTTTCGTTGTCTTTTGTTACCCTTTAGTTACCTACCTTTATCTCACCCTTTCGTTATCTCGCCCATTTTATTTCATAAGGCTCTGATAAAAAGGTAATATAAGTCAGCTCCCTATGTTATCGATTTGTGATGAAATGGGCTCTTGTTTAATTTTTGATATCATTTTGGGAGATAGACAAAATTGCAATACGAGAGCCTTTGTAAACAAGGGCAGCAGGCACGTAAATAATAGGGGGGCGTGGGGGGCGTGACGCCCCCCCAAAGTTTGGAAAATCCAGTTACAGTTGGAAAACATAACGGTTGACTTGGAATTTTATCTTAGGACCAAACTTGTGAATTTTATATTTTAAGAAGTTTTTTTATTTTAAATGTAATAATTCTAAACATTAAAATTCACAGGCTGAAGCTGACCCGTCTCCACTGGATCCAAATTGCACAATTGCCCTGTTTGCTTTCTTTCTGACGGGAGTTGAATCAAATTACGAGCAGGCAAGGTGAATTTCCGGATAAGAAACTTGAAACTTTACAGTTTGGAATAATAATTCCCGTATTGATCAGAAAGTATTAGAGTGGGAGTTTTTTAAGAAACTACGAGTAGTTAATTCAATAAAAGATTAATAATCTTTCAGTACTAAAAATTCTCAACGCTTCTTATAAAAACGAGTTTATGCTAAACTCCCCCTGTTATTTGTTAACGCCCTTGACTCCTTATCATAAATTCCTATGACAAAACTGCTGTAAAGCAAGAACACATTGCAAAAACTGCAGTAGAAGTATTTGATCAAAGAAGAGTGTTTTATCTTTCGGATCAGGCATATGCACAAGTTTGTTCTCAAATCATCATTTCAATTGTAAAGAATGAAAAGGAATTTGGCCCTCTGAAAATTGTTAGTAGTTTTATTCGATCAAGAACAAAAATTAAAGGCTCAAGTTCTTGGTGCTTCTATATCGTGAAAAAATGTATTTTAGATAAGATTGATCTGCGCCAATTGATTAATTGATCTGAAAGAATACTTCTAATCATTAAGTATATCTAATACTGGTTTTGCTTAAATGTTGCTTTACTTCTTACTGTAAGTTAAAATGTCTGTTTCATGTTGATCAAAATTTAGAGATTTAGGCTTTTATGCTTTAGGCTAATTATTGAGTAAAGTTTTGGTAATTATAAAGAAAATAGAACTATGGTGTTCGGGCTATTTACAAATATCAATTTAGTAGGTACAGTAGATTTACTGGTCAAATGAAAAATTTCTTACTTAGATTGGAATTTTCATCCTTCCACGCCCCCCCAAAATTAGCAACTTGTTTTCGTCCCTGAAGGGCAGTCACTGTCAATGGCTCTCACAAGCTCGGACAAAATCTTCCAGATATATAAAATTTGTAAACAATTTTTCGGCCGCATAAAATTTGCAAATTGCTTTGATAAAAGCAAACATTTTACAACATACTGAAACTCTTTCATCTGACACTCATCAGAGTATAAAATGTCAGAATAAGGGTCCACGACTACGTATTTACTTCCATCGTGTTTTTTTAACCCTTATTTTCACGGGTGACGTTTTATACTCTGAGGAGTGTCAAACGAAAAAGCTTTTAGTATGTTGCTAAATGTTTGCTTTTTTCAAAGCCGAAATCATATTCGACTTTTGCTAACGAGGTTTGCCAGAAAGAATCTGATAATCAACAACAGACAATCAATAGACTTCATCATTTCTAAATTAACTACAATTGATATGCTAGGGATGATTAGTTTTTGAGTATCAATAAAGTTTACAATATTTTACAAATGTACAACTGTAACGATAATTTGATACGCTACATAACAGAAAGGAACAAAATAAGCGATAATGAGCAAATAGTAGCTTAAATAGAAGTATTTAAATTTGAATAATCGAAACAGATATGCAGGGAAGGAACTTATCAGGAGTTATTATGACAAAACTCTAAAAGAAAAAATCTAACATTGCTTCCTTTGAAGTAAAAGAAGAAAACGCCGCTCAAAAAGAATTAGATTTTAAATAGTTTGACTGCTAGACAAAGTTTTTAAAGCTCAGCATTTTATCGCAGAAAGAGAAGTTTTTAGAGTGAGAAAGATAGAAAGGAGGGTAGTTGAAGAAAAAAAACAGGGCTTTTTCCAGATTTTAAGAGGCCACTGTACGCTCTGAAATCCTATGCTTTATATGTATGTCTAGCTTCAGTTTTGCTGCCTAAAATAAAAATTGCTTCCCAAAGAAAGCTTTCTTTTGGTTCCTTGGCGCCAAAGCTCTTCCATGAGAAAGTTTTTTAACAAGTAGATTTTCGAAAGGTAGAACTCACTGAAAGTTCCGTTTATCATGTTTTGGAAAAGAAAATAACGAAAAATCATTATCAATTTATGTACCAGGTTGTTATAAATGACTTTTCCTTGGGATTCTTCAGCTAGTTAAAGAGAGATACCCACATGTGGGACCAGAAATACTTGCCATATCAAATTTTAAGATATTTTCTATCCATACACATAATGGAATCTTTGATCTAAAAATTCTAAGCTTTCAAATGTTTCAGCTATTGTAGCTTTTTAGTCATTTATAATAACGAATACTGTATAGAATTAACGGTGACAACTTCATTCTAGTAATTTTTAACACGTTAATGTTAGAGACTTAATCAACTGTGCTTGTCAAAAAATTAACATCTTATTTCTTTAAATTTTATCATTAAAGCAATTATGCAAAACAAAAATTATCAACATATCTAGGAATTTCACTTATTTGAACATATGAAGTTTTGGCTGTCAGGCAGTCAATGGTAAATTTCACTTTTCTTTAGAAGTTTTTAACATTTTTAAGCGTTGTCAATGTCAGTCGTTAGGATATAATAGCTTAGATTGCCTAAAGATTCACAAATTTATCGCAGTATCTTATTTTACTTTATCTTTTGAGTAGTTTATATACAGGTTGAAGACATGAATTTTGAAGTTTAAGACAGGTCATGTGATCTGGGGAACTAGTCATGTGACATTTTAAAGTTCTGGAATTTCGCAAATATATGCCACAGACAAAATTTAAATTTTCGTTGACATTTCTATAAATCATGATGACACAAATTTTTTCACTCAAAATCAGAAGAAATATTATTTGAAATTTAACAAAATCGATATCAGATACCAATGGTGTTCCAATTGGGGGGGGGGGGGGAGGGACGTCAGGGGCTGACTCATAATATTTCTTTGCAACGAAGAATAATTTTTCCACCTAGGAGTGTTTAGCCGGGAAATTCTCAAAGTTGTCTAAAAATAAATGAACTTGTCGGCAAATGCCACCTAACGCAAATGCCCCGTGATCGCAAGAGCTGGCAATGGCCTTATCGGACAAACCTGAAGCTACGGAAACTGGAATACAGCATTCCCTAGTTAAATAATAGCGCATACAATTCTGTGGCTTTCATTTAGCAAAAGCCATTCCATGAGGCTGTATAGCCAGTTGACTAACTTTGGGCTTAGCATTAATTTACTCACTGGACTCCAGGCCATGCACACAGTCGAATTTATCTAGTGAGATCTCATTGTTTTCTTGTCCATGCTTTGTTTTTGATGTCTTTTATTCTTTTCTTCTTTTATTTTCTTCATGTCTTTTATTTTACTCTTGCTATTAACTGTTTTTCATTTTCCCAAAACCAATTCTCTATTCTCTTACGAGACCATCACCTCAGCATCATGTTACCAAACCCCCGTCCTCAATGTTAGCAAACAGACTCACGATCCGTTTCTCTTTCCTTACACAAGCTCTTAGTCGGCGACGAGCCTCGACTTCGTGCAACCTCGACCCAAGGGCAATTACGTCTAGCCGTGCCGGTATTGCTTGCATTTCCATTGGTTCTTGCAATTTGGTTATTCTGTGCTTTGAAGCGCATGTGACGCGTGAACAAATGTGCGGACCAGATGAAGCTTCCAAGCACTGTATAAGCAATAAAACTCGTAAGATTGAAAGCCACTCGCAAGGCCTTATCTCTACGTGAATTTGGCTTCACATTCGCATTGACACGCATCTCTGTGTTGCCGATAGAGAAGAACAGATTCGCTGTATAAAATGCTGCATCTAGGTAATTCCAGTTTTGCGTCGTCATAAAAACCACAGCAGATATTTGATACGTAGCGACGAAGAAAATGAAATTGATGATAATGGCCTTGAGATGAATATGGGAAGTTAACTGGCGTTTGAAGATCTTAACATTGATGAAGCGGATTATTGCGTACACTAGAACGTTCAACCGCTTACCAGTCGCGCGGAAAGTCAATATTGTTATCGGAATTCCGAAGGCAGCGTAGAATATGTATGCTATTTTGCTGTTGTTATTATGCAAAGTTCTTGTCGTTTGACCTGCAAAATAGAATAATTGTATTACTTTCAAATGCTAGCCAAAGAGGGACAAAATCTTATTTTCGGTATTTATCATTTCAGCCAGAAAAATGAAATCTGCAATCGTAGCCAAGGCTTTTAGCAAGAGAATGATGCAGGCATGTAAATATATTTTTAACAACCATCTGCTTGAGCAGTGCTTGGCTACTTTGAACATAAAGAAGACAAAATACCAGTTTATTCAACGACAGTTCGGAATAATATCGAAACTGCTAAGCATTAAAATATATTGAAAAATTCCAAAGCCTTAAAGACAGAGTTGAGCGTGCGGATTTAATGAACTCAGCATATCAGGAGTAATTTTAAAATAGCTACTATAGGAGATGCAGACTTGATCTCCAATTCTAAAAGAGAGGGATTGAAGCTAAGAGCATGGCGGAAGTGTGGTGTCCAGTCCACAAAAGGCAGAAAAACTGTTTAGTGTCTGTGACATAATTTTTGCCGCTTAGTGTGGAAAGATGTTGTTATACTTGTATGGAAGTTGTTAGAGTGATAACCAACACAGTTTCTTTAAAACTAAAATAAAAAAGGCCACCAATATTTTCGAAACAATATTAAAACAATACTTAACTATAAAGCGCATAAAGAGTTCATTTAAGAATATTTTTAGAAGTGAAATTTCAAATGATAATCAAATGAAATTTTATCAGAGTTAATTTTACGAGGGAGGGTGGTTGAACTTGATTTCGCTAGGGGTTCTTAATTTAGCTTTTTTGTGTTTATCCCATTTGGGTGTCAATTGTTATGCTTCAATTTGGTATTTAAGACCTTATGTGCTCCTTTGATGCCTTTGGGAATAAAGAAGTAGGAGTTCTATAGTTTGGGCTTCTGCACAAGAGTGTGGGTCCCTTGACTAAGAATGATGTATTTAATTGCTTTGGGTCAGGATTTTCGTGTTTTTTCGTATGCTGTTTCCACGTTGTTCTCTTCTCCCGTCCCTCCCTCCCCTTTTGATATCAAGCATAGTGTGTTTCTTCAAATCCTTGTTTATTTTATTGTTTTAAGCTAGGGCCCATTCACATCACGGGATTCATTTCAAAGTTCTTGTTATTTTTCGTTTAGAAAAGACTAGGCTCTTAATTCAGCCATGTTTTTACTTCTCCTCTCACATCTTAGATAACTAAGGTAGGACTGGCGCATCGGCTCTATGGTGGGAAAAAGTGAACTTTTCTTGTCCATTCCCTGCCCAGAACTTTAAGCTGCTTTTACTTGAGTCTATTGAGCTATATCAAAAGTTAGGATTTTGTATTGGTTAGGTGAAGCAACTTGTGCCGATGCACCAACGGCTCAACGTTGCTTGCTGTGATGAGGAAATGTAGCCTCAAGACCTGATTTGATGAGGGATGTGGAAACATCTTCTGAGAGATCTTTTTTATTTCAACTGATGGAATGCACTTGTCTATGTTTTTTATTAGTAAGAAATTAAATGACAAACCTACCAGTTCCTTGACCAGTGAGAATATTGAAAGAAAAATCGGTTGCCTCTATGAAATTCCAAAGGTTCTCTTTTGGCACCGGCCGTTGCTTCTGCAAGGTAATTATCAAAGTTTGATTTGCATGGATGAGATATTCATTGAAGAATTGAAGGTGTTGTGAAGTTCATTGATATTCGTTACCAATAAGCAGTGCTTGCGCCTAAATCTTCTTAATTAACCAGTTATCGGATCTTTGCATATTTGTTGATTGCTATATCTCCTCTTATAATAGGTTTTGTCTGAGTTTTGATAACTTGCTATTAAAAATTCTATTAAAAATTTAAATTATTAATAACGAAATAACACACTCAAACTAGTATGGTATTGTCTTATAAGCTAGACCTCTTGTAAATGGACTCGAGAGCTACTGTCTGTTTTAACCAAATAAGTTTTTGGTACTGCAAATTTTGTATATGGAATGTAAAGAATCGTGCATTCCGAGTATTTTTCAAAACATTTTTTATAATAATAAATAAGATTCTTGTCTATTGTTTCATTAGATTACAATCAATAAAAACCTGCACGAAATTGTTTTTGAGAAAATCTATGCACATAGCTACTTTGATCTGCTTTAAAAATCAAGTCACTTCATTAATTATTGAAAACGTGCATTGAACAGAAGTGTAGTTTGCATTCAACATATTTGCAAAGGGTTCCCCGCTGCCTCTGCTAAGTAAGGTCTAAATTTCTGCCTTATTCAATTCATGAGAGTTCTAGAAGGTCAGCAATTGGTTCTTTGTTTCAGTGATTGGGTGACGGTAAGATTCTAATAAAAAGAGAAAGTATGTTCGCTTAAGCAACAAATAGTCAATTTTTGAAGAGTTGGATGAAAGTTACACAGAAGTGTGAAACGAGGAAGTATAGTGGGATATAATATGATAAAACACAATGCATTGCCATGCTATAGCTTGCCATGCCATAGCTTGCCATGCATTAGCTTGCCATGCCATAGCTTGCCATGCCATATGATACAATACAATACAATACAATACAATATAATACAATACAATACAATACAATACAATACAATACAATACAATACAATACAATACAATACAATACAATACAATACAATACAATACAATACAATACAGTACAATACAATACAATACAATACAATACAATGCAATGCAATGCAATGCAATGCAACGCAACGCAACGCAACGCAACGCAAGACAATACAATACAATACAATACAATACAATACAATACAATACAATACAATACAATACAATACACTACAATCAAATTCAATGCAATGTAACGCAATACAATACAATACAATACAATACAATACAATACAATACAATACAATACAATATAATACAATGCAATACAATAAAATCCAATGCAATGCAACGCAACGCAATGCAATACAAAACAATACAATAGACCACAGCACAATACAATAAAATACAACACAATATATTACAATACAATAAAATACAATACAGTAATAGCAAAGTAAAAAATGAATCAAGATTTCGTCGCCAAAAAAAATTCATTGTATCTGAGATTAACGAACAGTAAGCCAGATGCGAAAACAAAGTTTGTTTTCTCTTTCTTTGATCGACTGTTGAGAATTAGATGATGGGTGAAGAATTGATCTAGGATATGCCAGATCCCGGCCATCAGGTAAACCTTTCTTTGTCCAAGTTATTTGAGGGAATGACTTTTAAGCGTGCCTTAAATCTGTCTGCTTGCTTTGATCTTGTAAGGTACAGCTTGGACATAAGGCTAATTACAAAATTGTAACACTATCAGACGCAACGAGTTCTATTGAATGCAGGCCATGGTCAATGCAAGCTGTAAATAGCGTTCCTTGCGGACAGAAGCTTGCAATGAGAAAGGCGGCATGAAGAAAAGAAGCAAGGACAAGAGATTATTTGCTCAAAGATTTTGTGGTCTGAAAACCAAGCAATTAAAGTACAAATTTTCTAAGCCAGAGATCTTCTAAAGCAATAGTCGGAAATGCATCAAGACAGCTTAAAACGCAAAGTGCTCGTTTTAAAAAATATCTTGATGCTTTTTTCCTAATGTGGAAGCAGAACACTACAGCTCTTGTTAAGTTAAGTATATAATTGAATATAATTGAATATAGGAATATAATTGAGGACTATCAAATAAGACAAAAATAAATTCTAAAAACTGATTTTCAACCAATTTATTTAAAACATTTCCATTCAAAACACAAGAAAACTCATCACTTGCTTTTTCTCATTACAAGCCTTCTCTCTTTACAAACCTTCTATCAAGTGTTTAGATACATTTATATCTAAAAGATCTCCTGCAAAGCACCTACCGGGCACAACTAAACAAGTTTCTTGTGCAATATCTTTCTATATTGCATTTCCGTATGTTTTTTACTTTAGTAAACAAAAATGCATCAGTTTGGCAAGAGTATGGACAAACTATACAAACAAACAAGAAAAAGACAAGTTTGCAATACAATGCGATCAGCAGCATAACACGAAGATCAGAAGAAGAAGAACAAGGATGACAGAAAAGTAGAAAAAAGCAACAACATCAGGGCAACAAACAGCAACATTTGAAACAACAACTTAATGAGCACCCACGTGCGACCAAAAGAAATAGTGTCCAATGATCGTTGATGTATCAGGGGCGGATCCAGCGAAAAATCTAAATTAGTTCCAGGCCAAGGCTAGGGTCTTTCAGATAATGCATTGATAATTGTGCCTAAGACAACATTATTATTCATATTTATGCACTTTGGTACCAAGGTGAGGGGTAAGTACTATCCACTCACTAAATCTAGATTATAAATTTCTTTCCGACAGAAAACAGTGCCTCTGTAAAAATTTCTGCAACCCTCTCCCTTTCTAAATACCCTCTTGCTTGTCTTGGATGCCACAGCAAAGTTCTACCTTTTGTTTTGCTCGCAATTTGTTGTTTTGCCTACGTAGACACCAGCCTATTTTTCAAAATATAGTGTTCCGTCTGACCATAGGTCTCTCTTGCCATCAACGACTGCAGTTTAAAATAAAGGTAGTTAATACTCCTGGAAAATTCACGAGACTTCCTGGTTTTATCCCAAACGCTTGATAATCTGCTAGAATGCTGCGAGGGTCGTGAAAATAAGACATCTGCAGTCGCCATTTCGAATTCAAAGTTTGCAGTTCCATAACAGATCAGAGATAATAGTTAGCCAATCAACTACTGGCTATTGTACAGCTCTCTTACAAATATGGTATCATTTCCGAGTTCCAGATGCTGTTTTGACTGAGTTCCATCCGTGTTCCAAAAAAAACTTTCATTGTTTCAATTCATTCACTTCCGAGGCAAAAAACGTTTATTTCCGAGTTCTAGGATTGACTGCTGTTGTCCTCCACAACGTCTGGAAAATCGTTTCAAAATCACGACAGAGAAGAAGGAAGAAAAAGGGCGAACGAATTACATCAAACTGGCAATTTTAAAATTTTGAAGAGATTGCAATAAAACTTATAATTTCTAGGTTTTACTTTTATAGTTTAAATATTACTTATTTTAGGCAACACTAATTTTAGCTATATGTTGGGAAACTGACTGAGCTGTGTGCCTCAAGGAACTCACTCTGGATTCGCCTCTAAGTATGGCTAAGTCAGAGTTTAAATCAACACCCTCGAGTGGAAAAAAGTCGTCCAAATTAACAACAAGACGATGTGAAAGATTTCTGGAACACACATAAATTTGAAAAATTGAAGAGACCTACAATCTCTTCTACATTGTTCCTTGAAATAATCTTCGAGATTGCAGGCAATATCAGACTCTTTACAGACATCAGGGTAGAAATTAACAAATCCCTTTAATTCTGCTTGAAAGTACTCATCAATAAATCGGATAGATACTCAAATCTGCTACTGGATTGTCAAGCAGAGGGGCAGCTGGCCGTCGGTTCGTTTGACAACTTTTTATTTGTGTCGAGTTATTGACTATGAAAATAAATTTTCTTATATATTTTGCTAAAATTCCTTTAATTTATTAGGTTACAGAAACAGCAGCTGCAGTTTTGTAGACGGTGTTTTCAGAACAACAATAAGCCAAGACAAGGCAGCGTAGAAATTAATAATATTATATTTGAGAGAACAGTTGAAAATTGAGAATTTACCTTAATGCCTTTAATTTTCGCACACCTTTGGATTCGTGTGCAGAGACAGTACGCGAAAATGAATTGTGGTGAAACGAAAGAGCTGATGAGATATCGCAGTCTGATTATTAATGCTGAGAAACAGTGTACATGCTAGTACCTATCCTAACTCGACTAGTAATTCAAGCAGTCAAAACATTCCGTGCACTAATCTATCTAAAAATGGGTACTTTCCTTTTAAAACGTTTTATGAATATTTTGCTGTCTATTGGCAAGACCACCTTATAGGCTCAAGAACCAACGGGTATTGAAAATCAGAGAGTCTAGACAGATGATTTTACTTTGCATATATGCAGCAAATACCGATGCAGTATGGGTTTCTATCCCCAATATATGGTACGGAAGGTTATTTGAAGGTATTGATAAGCATATAATTATAAAAAGCGTATTTCTCGACCTTAAAAAAGCGTTTGAAACGGTGGACCACGGGATTCTTCTATCGAATCTAGCCAAATATGGACTGGAAGGGACATCTCTTCAGTGGTTCACATCGTATATAACCGGCAGAAGACAGTAATGTCAAAAAATGGCCATAGATCTAGCTTGAGAACTGTTGGCTGCGGTATCCCCCAGGGATCGTACTTGGGGTCGCTCCTCTTCATCCTGTATCTAAATGATTTTGAGCAGTGCCTCAAAAAATGCACCTCAAACATGTATGCGGACGATACCAGTGTCACCTGTTCTGCCGAAGATATATAAGATCTCTGTAATGATCTAAAAGCTGAGATCGACAATATTGCAGAATGGTTACGTCCGAATCAGCTTAGTTTGAATACTGATAAAGCAGAATAAATGGTTATTGGTCATAAACAACAAACCAACCGTATCCTTCGTCCACTAGAAGTAAATTTAAATGGAGAGGCAATCAAACGAGCTCAAAAGGTCAAATACCTTGGAACTTCGGTCGA